GTCTCATTGATTCCCTAGTATTATTCACTCGACTGTTGATCTTGCATAAATCTATTTTGTGCATCATCATATAGTGTTGTATATTGTGTTGTTGTTGGTCTGAACAAATATAATTTTTGTCTTGGCTTTACTGTTTCGTTATTTTAAGGGACAAAATTGATATCTCAAAAAAAAAAATATAAAAAATAATGTACTAGACAAAAGAGGGTATAATGGGTTTTTTTTCAAGTGTCTAGTAATTGTTGTTAGTCAATTTAATCTACTTGAAACTTGGAGGGGCCAAATTGTACCATTTGAAACTATAGGGAGCTAATTACAATATGAGCATAATTGGAGTACAAATCATAATTAACCATATTTAATTAAAAACATATAATTCAGCTTGATAATAGTATTTGTCAATTTGCATCAAGTGACAATCCCAAAAAGTTGATTAGATTTTGTTTAAAAAAAAAGTGAAAATTGGAACCATATATATTATGGGAAACTTATTTGACATTAAGAACAGACTCGAACTTATTGAGTAAATAAGAACATATAATGTATCATTTTTCGTAACCAGGTCCAACCCGTCTATGTTATATTTTTAAAAATGCCTACTATATCCTCTAGTATAATGGGACATCAACGTTGCTTCCACAATTGACGAGAAACTATTTCTCACTCTTTGGAATCTAATCTCTTTCGATCTTTCAGATTTGTTAGCTTCTCTGTCCACCACCATGGTCTGTTGCTCCGTCGCTGTCGCCACATAGGAATGAAGATTTAAAGAACAAAGACTAAACATCACCAGAGAAGACACAATCAATGGACTCAACAACTTTTCTTGGTTTTATGATTTGTTTACTTGATTTCTCTACCTTCGGTCGCTCCCACAGATCGACATGAGTTTTTCGCTAAAACAATTTAAATTCTTTGTTTTAGTTTATTTTTGTTTTGGTGACATTCTACAGATTATTTGTTATATCCAAATGGTGTTTGATGAATTACATGAGCTAAGGGTTTTATTGTTTTTTTGTGCAAAGATTTTTTAGCTCTCCTCTTTTACTTAGTTATTATTTTGATATATTGATCTTGAATTTATTTTGATATGGATAAAAAAATTATGTGTTTTTTTTTTGTTTAAACATATGAAAAGTTTTATCGGTGGTTGGGGTTGTTGTTGTGATTACGTGATTGTTACTGTGATCATGTGACTATATTTACTTCACGTTACCGTCTAGTTTCGTAGAATTTTGACAGTGATTGTGACCGTTAATACGACCATGTGGCTGTTACTATGATCATGTAGTAGTTTAATTTAAGTTACTGTTTCATTTTATAGAATTTTGACCGTGATTGTAGTTGTTACTATGATTGTGTGGTTGTTTATTTCATATTATTATTAAAAATCCTTAGTTGAATTGCTTTTAAATGTTACATTTCGACAAAAATGCTTTAGGATCGATAAACGACTCCATTATTTTTTCATTTGCATCACAAGATGATGTCATTACTTCAAACTAATTTTGTAGTAACGTGCATTAAGATACCGCAAAATAACACTTTGGTACCGTAGCTTTTCTGCTCTCTTCACTACCAAGGCTGTGCTGGTAAAGAGAAGAAATATTTATCAAACATGGAAGCTACTTCTCAAATGAAAAACATTTTTGAAATTAAAAATAATTTCAAAAAATTTAAGGATCATAAAAAAATAAATAAAAATTGAGAGAACAAAATGAGATAAATATATAATACAAGAATAATCTATATATTTTTAATAGAAGTCAAAACAAATATTTTAGAGTTTTCATAACAAATGGTCCACTTTCAATTAGCAAGACAGTTCTTGGGGATTTCTTGACAATGAAATGTATGGGCATGGTTTTGCCCACTTGGTCTCTTTAACTGTGATTAATCCAGCAGTAGATAGTCGGGTGTCATAATCTATTTTTTTTGGGGTCAGATACTATCATCAGGACGGTGATGATGATGTTAGAACATAAAGTCTAACACCAGGAACTATAATCATTAGATCAACCGCTAATTTAGTCTTATAATTTACTTGAAATACACTGATACATTTTTTTATTATTGTTTACAGCAGTTACCAAAATTTTTATACCATAAATGAGATACCTTTATGATCATGGATGATTATTGGGAGTTAATAGATCAAATAATCCAAAACCCATATTTAAATGACAAAGTAACATATCTATATTTATATCTATACTATTTATAAATAATAAATATAAATAAATACTACTTTAAATGTGTGTGAAAAACTTTTAATTTTTTATTTTATCCATAATTATTACTATAAAGTCAATTATACCCCACATGTTTTTATTAATGTCATTTTTTTTTCCTTTCATGTCCTATTAACCTATAAATTTTATTTAAACCAAAACTCTTTTTATCAGATAACATTAGGTTTCTAAATATTCACTTATTAGGGGTAACTCGTGTCTCAATGTGAATAATTTTGAAAAAAATGTTTGTGGCCATTTGATGGACTTATTGAAACATGTCCTGTTTTATGTTATAGTTTCTATTCTATAAAGTTAAATCTTTAATTAGATTTTATGCTCAAATATATTTCATAATTGATTTTTGGGTATTCAACAATATCATAATATTAACACAAATAATATTATTACAATCTATCAATATATTTTTTAATAAAATATAATAAATCTATAATATACTTAGATGTACAAAAACTCAATAATGATAATTTTTAAGTTCCATTGTAAACAACAAAGGAAATTTCTAAAAGTGTCAGAAAAATACCCAAAAATGATAGAGTAGGTAGTCAAAGAGGGGTAGAATAGATAAATAATTAGATTTAACAATAATTAGAATAAAAATTAATTATTTGACATATAATTTATTGTTCAATTTAATTACAAATATAAGTTAATTTTTTATTAAAAAATTATTATTTAAATAAGTTCGCGTGTAACGCACGTCGTGTGTTTCTAGTTAAGGTCAAAAGTATCCTTATAAATCATGTTTTTTATTTTGAAAATAAACCTTGTCACCCGAATTAAATACTACTTCCATCACTATTTCAATCACATATTTTTTAGATTTGTTAAGTCCAATAGCATTACTCATTAAATATTATTACCCAAAATCTCTTTATTCAAGTTAGCCCATCGGGTTTCAGGTTTTGTCTTGATTGATAAACTTGCCAATAAATCAAATTTGAATCGGTTTTATCTTGATCTAAATTTAAATACAATTTGATAAATTTTATTTTTATACTTCATAATTGCATCGGTTATTAATGGGATATTGGATTGCATTTGCTTAGTTATAGTTAATTTTAGCATATTAGTAAGCTGAACTCAATTTTAGTAGATAACCACTAAATTATATAATAAATTTTGTATTTGTATAAATTTGCATAAATTAGATTAAATTATAATTGAATCGAATATGGATAAAATTAAATTCAAATTATAATATAACAGATATAGATTTAAATTAAAATTGTTGGTTAAAAAATTATACATTAATCATTGTATTTAAATTCGGATGGAATTTAGAGTTAAGCTGTGGGCCGCATGGCCTGATCACAGCATGGCCTTTTCCCACGTTCCTCGTGGGAGTGCTGGCCCGCTAATTGTTGCGGATCATACAGCAACATAATACTTAAATTGATGAGATGGATATTGGGTGGTTCGGACCAATAAAATGAGTTGATTTTTTCAAAGCCACTTTTATACATAGACTTTTAAACGCTCGTATCCAGTCAGTAATAGCAGGACAAAATGAATTCATTGCACCACTAATTGGAGATACAATGACTTATGAGGATTTTGAACAAATTATTTCGTTTAGGATTTGAAAAAAGAATTTTTTTTTTTTTTTATAATATTTTGTAGTTGAGTAATTTCACCGTTTAAAGTCAGAACTGATCGCCATTAATTCTACATTAATTTGAGTGATTAATAGTTTTTAATAGTATAATTAATTTGATTATTGTTTTTTTAGAAAAAATATATATTAATGGCCTAATTATGTAATTAACGATAATTAGGTCACATTTGATTATTTTCTAATTAATTTTAAGATTTTAGCACTACTTATACTCTTGTAAGCCTGAGGGTTAAACAACTTTTAATTATTGAATATAATTGAGAGGGTTATCTCTTTTTTTCTCAATCAACAAAATTATTGAAATCTTTGGGATTATATTTTCTTGTAAATTAGCAAATTTAGAGTAAGAATCTAAGCGAGTATTTGTACGTAGAGTAAGGTATAATTTTATTGTCCACTTTCTGTTCATTATATATTTCTCTGTACTCGCTTATTGTTTCATTCTCCCCTTTCTGTTTATTATACTTTTCTTTCTACCCGCTTACAGTTTCATTATCTCTTTCTGTTCATTATACATTCCTTTCTGTTCATTGTACATTCCTTTCCGTTATCCCTTTCTGTTCATTATACATTTCTTTCTACTCACTTCCCTGCATCCTTCTCACTCCCCTCTCTCTCTCTCTCCGCCTTTTAAACAAACCTTTCTTGGCCACCATATATATCTCTCATTTCTAGCAGATATATTCAATCCTCTATTGAAATAGAATTCATAGAAAGAAACAATACACAATTTTTCCATTCTCCAAAATTCAAATGCACACCACCCTCTCTCTTCCTGTGAAAGTGAACTCTGCCTTTCAAGCAAACAAATCTTTTGCAACTCTTCTCTTCTCCAGCTGATACATAGTCATTTATGCATACTTGAATAAACACTACATAAATGTTGGTATATCCTCACTGCCGCCCTTTTTCCAAAGTTATAACTTGTCTTAAGGGAGAGATAAACACTACATAAATGTAGGTATATCCTCACTGCCGCCCTTTGTCCAAAGTCATAACTTGTCTTTAGAGTTCTTTACCACGTTTACTCTATCTAATTCTTTACCTTAAATCTTTGTCCACACCAAGTGCACTTTTATCTCTTTTTATATCTGGTTTTTGAGTGTTTGATGCTGGTAAACTCTGGAGAAATGGGTTTGCAATCTGTGACTGGTATTGTACTCCCTCTCTTAGTTCTTGTAGGATTGGTGTTAGTAGTTCAAGGTAAAAGCAGCAAAATTCCAACGACCCTTGAAGGACCCTTCAAGCCTGTTACTGTCCCTCTTGATCAACGCTTCCGTGGACATGCCGTGGATTTACCCGACACCGATCCTCGGGTGAAAAGGACTGTGAAAGGGTTTCAGCCTGAACAAATCTCAGTTTCTCTCTCTTCAACTTTTGATTCAGTTTGGATATCTTGGATCACTGGTATGGCCATTTCTATGTTTTTTCTTTGTTTAATTTGATTGAATTTGATGGGGGTGGGGTGGATGTGTAAAAACTGGAAATGAAATGGTTTTTAGCTAAAACCATTGATAAATAACAATCAACTCATGGGTTTTATTACTATTTTCCTACGGATAATCTTTCAAAGAAAATCCTAAGCAAGATTGAATTTGAGGGACTTGCTAATAAAAGTTGTGCATGGGGTGTACCACCTAGATTCTTCAAAGGTATCGTCGTCATCAGATTGAGAAAGACTTTTATGCAACATCGTAATATGATTTAAATCTCTTCCCATGTTCTATTTTTTTTCGTTCCGTGTGTATATCCCGATACGTCACAAGTTATTCGTGGCAACTACAATGAATGTAAATGAAAGATTTGTCAATGAATCTTTAATACAATTGTTTGCATTAAATGTTTAAATTATTGTTCTAATTTGTTAATCTAATTTATTATGACTTTTAGATTGACTAAAAAATTTGGTGGTAATTGAATGGTTTCAATTAAGTCACATCATTAACTCAGCGAATTATGTTAGATTTTTAAGTATAAATAGTATTACCCTTTTTAAATTAAGACATTAAAAATTGCATATGCAAAACGAACTACCCGTTAGTCAATGTAGGGGGTGGTAACTGCATGAAGTCGAGTTTGTGTTAGTTTGAATTGGTATCAAACATTATTCAACCTTAAATCAATTCATTAGTTAATTGTATCACATCATGTCTTGACTTCAACTCGGCGTATTTATTATTGTGTTGTGTTTGAATCGACTTATATCAACCGTGAATCGAAATTCTGAAATTAAAACTCCATTATCTCTCAACTAAATCCACACTAATAGTTTTTTCATAAACTAAAAACTTCTTTGGATCCATGATATAGTTAATACATGTAAAAAATCCTTTTTTATAATTCATGTTAATCGTGTTAATTTTGGGTTATTTGTGTTTAACACTAACCTGATTCATTTGTTTGTATCATTTTTGAGTTCATACTAAAAAATATTTAACCCTAATCCGCTAACTTCGTATCGCGTTTAAGTCATATTCTTGTGCTGTGTCGAAAATTGTTGGCCCTAAATTGTCCGGTTATAATTAATTGCAGGGGAATTCCAAATAGGTGACAAAATAAAACCACTGGATCCGGCCACTGTTGGGAGTGTGGTTTACTATGGGAAATGGAGATTGAATGAGAAAGCAACGGGTCATTCACTCATTTACAATCAGCTCTATCCTTTTGAAGGTCTTCAGAACTACACTTCAGGAATTATACACCATGTCCGCCTCACAGGTATGGCCTATATACAATTTTTAGGGTAAAATATAATAATTAATAGTCCGTCTAGCATACATTTTGTGTCACTTTAGTTATCACTCTTTCAATTGTGTCATTTTAGTTCCTTGAGTTTTTAATTTTTGTCGCTTTGCTCCAATCAAAAAATAACAGTGTAAGTTTGACTAACGGAACACTTGATGATTACTCTACTCCTTCAAGTTTACTCCGTATCACTTTAGTTCCTTAAGTTTTCAAAGACTCAACTATGGTCACCTGAAATGCATGCGACAATCTCCGTTAATCATTTTAAAGTGAAGTTTTTGATCGGATTAAAGTGACACAAATTGGAAAATTTGAGAGACCAAATTAACACAACTAAAAGATTGGGGACCAAACCGACACAAAATGTATAGTTTGGGGACTAAAAATATATTTTATCTGATTTTTTAACATGTTCTTCATATGTGATTGTTAGCAAACATTGTTGGCATTTTTTAACATCCTTCAGGTTTGTAAATATTCTAGTATGCCCGAAGAAGCAGTGCATGAAATTAAGAATACAGAGAAATTATACTTTAACCCACTCAACTATGACCTTTTGTTACATTTTCCCACACATTGCAACTTCAAATGGATTTACAAACACATTAAAGTATAGTTATCTGGCTTTCTAGTTTTTGTCAATTGATTTTTTAATCTTATTATCTCGTACTTCATTGATATAGAAAGCAATGACTTATTTGACTTGTTCTTAATTGATTTGTTTTGAATTACTATGACAATGAACTAAAGAAAATACGAACTGATAATGCACTAGTTATTGGTTATATTGACAATGCATAGATATACATATATACCAGAGGCTTCTTTTGTGTCCTTTGCAGGTTTGAAGCCTGACACTTTGTACTATTACCGATGTGGAGATCCATCTATACAAGCAATGAGTAATCTTTATTACTTCAAGACTATGCCGGTTTCTGGTCCCAGGAGTTACCCAAAGAGGATTGCATTGGTGGGGGACCTTGGTCTTACTTACAACACAACTTCAACAATCGACCACTTGAGGAGGAACCGTCCTGATCTTATTCTGTTGATTGGAGATGTATGTTATGCTAACATGTACCTGACAAATGGAACTGGTTCAGATTGCTATTCTTGCACATTTAAAAATACTCCCATACATGAGACATATCAGCCTCGTTGGGACTATTGGGGAAGGTATAAATCCATTTTTCCTCTTTCTAAGAATTGAATTGCTCATTTTCTCTTTCTGCTATTTATAAGTTTCATGAAACAGCAAGCTCTAAGAGATTCTGTTTTATCGGTATCACATAAAGCTCTAAGTAGAGGGTATTTGAAAAATGGAAGTTGGTTTGGTTTTCAATTTTAAGCTTGTGATGAATATAGAATTGTAATGACAAGAGGGAAAAAGCCAAAAAATCATCGAGAGATGGTGCGTGTTTTTACTACTGATTTCTTTCAAGTTCAGGGCATGAGTAGTTGTAAGAATATTTGACAGCAAACTACTCTTAGTCATTCAGATGGATAATCTCATGCATGACAACATTAGGTGACCACAGTATGCCCCTATCTGATTGCCAGTTTGTTCACAATTTTTTGAAACTTCTGGTTCTTCGACATTCATGACTTTTTACAGAACCAGGACCCGTCACTTGGATTCTACACATTATGAGGTAGTCGTAATCCTGGTCCTACCTTGTCTTAAAAGTGCACTTCTCTAATCTTTCGCTTCCCCCCATTACAAGGTGGTAATCCTCATCCTACCTTTTCCTAAAAATGCTCCTCTCTAAACTTTCATTTTTCCCTTTCCTTCTACATTGCTATACAGGACATTCCCTTTTCTGTTTGGCTTTTTTGAGTGTCATTGGAATACATTTTTTTCAGATATATGCAGCCTCTGGTGTCAAGAGTTCCAATAATGGTGGTAGAAGGGAACCACGAGTTAGAAGAGCAAGTTGGAAAAAAGACATTTGAAGCTTATAGTTCTCGGTTTGCCTTCCCCTCTGAAGAAAGTGGATCTCCATCCAAATTCTACTATTCTTTCGATGCAGGGGGCATACATTTTATAATGCTTGGTGCATACATAAATTTTAACAGATCAGGTAAACTAAAGAGTATTATTTGTTTCTTTTCTTTGATGGTATAATATTTTTGCATAGTTTTTACTCTCTGCTTTTCTATTACAGGGGATCAATACAAGTGGTTGGTGAGAGATCTAGCTAAGGTCAATCGAAAAGTAACGCCGTGGTTGGTTGCAACATGGCATCCACCCTGGTACAACAGCTACAAAGCGCACTACAGGGAAGCGGAGTGCATGATGACATCGATGGAAGAACTGCTATATAATTATGGTGTCGACTTAGTCTTTAATGGACACGTAAGTGTGTCTTTAGTATTGTCCTCTGCTTTGCAGCTTATTTTATTTTTTTAGTAGAAGAAACAAGAAAAGGATCGGAGAAATATATCTGAAATGCTATTACACAAAACGAAAGGAAAGCCTACTGCAAGAGGCTAGGACACTTCACGAGGCTCCTGCCACCATAGGGTTCTGAGTCAAATGTATGCAGCTTCCATGACTCGAATACGTGATGCCCGAGTCATAATAGAGCAAACATGTAAACAATAAACATGCCAAAGTTTTTATCCTCCCTCGGAAGAAGATCATCCTAATTTTTGGAATCATTGTTTTGGATAAATAAGGTTTAGAATATCTTGACATCTTAATGTCTTAATAGAGTTATTCACTTAACTTTAAACAATTAGAATTGTTTTCCTTTAGTTGATTAAAAGAGCAGGTAAACAACTTTAGAAAGGATGTCATAACTTGTCTACTCTTGTGGCTTCGCTGTTGTTAGAATTTCAGTTGATGAATCAACTTCACTTTAGAATTTCATTTGATATTTCTTAATTTCTTTAACTTTAAATGATGAACTTTCATATCAAATTTCCTCTTTACATCTGCTGATACTAGATAGATTTTTTCTGCTGCTAGTATTAAGAGGTTTTGGCTTGTGAAAAGAGTTGATCCTCGAATCCCTACACATTTTGAATCCTCGTCTTGAAACATCCTGCTCCACCTAACCTTTTCTTCGAGTATGCTCTGTTGGCTTTATACATTTCTACTACTAGGTACTTGATTTCTTGCTGTGTTGGAGCTGACTTTTTTTCTATGGCTAAATTCTTAGGAAGATATATTTTCCACCCATCTTTCCAAAATCAGTATACTTTTTTTGTTATCTGGATTGAACATCACTCATTTTTCTGTCGCTCATTTTTAGCACATATATCTTTTGATCCCATTGTCATTGATCACATATCTTCTGATTATGCTAGGGGCATCTGCATACTATCATTTGCTAGGCCTCTAATTGCCATTTGTTACAAATGAATTAACTAATTTGTACATTTTGCAATTTTTTTTTTAGCATCTGTTTACCAATTCATGCGTAGAATGACTTTTGTGCAAAAATCAAACAGGTTCATGCTTATGAGAGGTCAAACAGAGTATACAACTATACCTTGGATCCCTGTGGTCCTGTCTATATCACAATTGGAGATGGTGGCAACAGAGAAAAGATGGCAATTTTACATGCTGATGAACCGGGCAACTGTCCACGCCCATCTATCAAACCAGATAAAATTGGTGGATTCTGTGCACACAATTTTACATCAGGACCAGCAGCTGGTAAGTTCTGCTGGGATCGACAACCTGATTATAGCGCATTTAGAGAGAGTAGCTTTGGCCACGGGATTTTAGAGGTAACCCCCCCCCCCCCCCCCCCCCTTCTCTTCCCCTCTTTTTGCTGATAAATGTGTGCATACAGCTATTATGTATTTTTTTTAAATTTGTTGTTCTTTAACGAAATGTGTACAAAAAGATGTATTCTAGTTAAAAGTTAATAACTTCCAAGACAACAAGTGATCGAATTTAGAGGATTGGTGAAGTTCACTCTAAAAGTGCTAAAAAGTGTACCTAAGAAATCTTCTTTCCAACATTACACACACACACATACACATTTATGTAGTTGTTTGTAACGAAAACCAAGACTGGAACATTTTGGTGGCATTCTATTGCCATAAGTGTGGGGATATTAGACCATGTAACTGTGTCTATTAGCTTGAAATATAATGACCAATACGTGATGTGTAGGTGAAGAATGCAACACATGCTCTATGGACATGGCACAGGAATCAAGACATGTACAACAAAGCTGGAGATCAGATTTACATAGTAAGGCAACCTGGGAAATGCCCAGTTAAACGCCAGGTAACTAATCTTTGTTTTTATAGTAGACGACTTTTGAATGAAACAACTGGACCAAAACAGCAATTGCTACAAGGTGCTAGTACATTTGAAGTGACCGGAGAAAAAGAAGATCTCAGATAAAAGATTAGTAACAAATGATCTCAGGCATATGATAGTTGACAAAAGGGAATAGGCATGCATATTAAAGCATTATAATATTCAGTGGAAATTGGAGTTGGACTACTCCACTTTGAAGGGCTAGGATGACCTGAGTGTTTTATTGTTTCAAGGAGTGTTGGGTGCCAAGTGTGAGTGATATGCGTGATGCCCCCCTCGTGTAGGTGGGACTTTTATTTTATAAGCGCCCACTACTAGATTGAAGTATTGTTCTCGTATAAGTTGAGGTAGTTTGGTGGAGGTGGCGCATTCTCGTAACAGATGAGACAATCCCATGGTGACGTGCACGTCCCAAGGAGATCCCTCTGTCTGTCAGTTTTGGACTGAGTCTCTCATCATGAAGCGGCCAACTTGACTCTCTCTTAATATGACGTAATTGACCTGACTTAACTTCCTCTATCTTGTGGTGGGCTTGGCCTATATGTTTGAGGTAGGCCTGATCTGTGCTTCCGGGTCTGGTCTATATTTTTGCATTGGGCCTCTGAGGTGGGTCTGGTCTAGGCCAAGCCCATCATACACCAATATATCTACCTCAAAAGTCCTAAGTGCCTATATGTATCTCTACCATTTAAAACCTAATGCTCATCTTACCTCTTCCCTTTTTGTGGCTTTTTCAGTAAGGTTTTCTCCCAAGTGGCAAGCTCAAAACATAAAAAGGCATGCGAGCCGTCTGGAAGATTGTGAGCGGCATATGGAGGGTATAAGTTGCAATGGCTTTGGTCGTCTTCTTTTTATGTATGATATTAACCAGTGGAAAGAAAATAAAAGAGGCTAGTATTACAAACTCCATAGTTTTTACACTAAAAATATGGTGCCTTCAATCTAGATGTTGCCATCTTTTGTTCTAGATGATTGGCATTTTTGTCATTTGACACTTAATTATTTTCTTTTTTGGGGTTTTCTTTGTGCGCGTGTGTGGGGTGGGTTGGGGGGACAAAAAATGGGAATACTCCTAGCATAAAGGCAACACCAGTAATCTCATAGTACACATATTTGAAAGTTCCCCTTGAAGGAATATGCAGTAGAGTTATAACTTTGAAAGTTCCAGCACCTAACAATCTCTTTCATGTCCCTTTGATCATTGAGGGATGCAGAGAACTTGAAATCTTCACTAAGGCCAATCCAACATGATGCGATAACATTAGGGTTGGCAATAGGTCATGTAGTTTATAGTGTCTTAAGTCGCTTTGTATTGAAATTTGTTTGATTCTAGTCGATTTCATGTTGGGTTCACGAGTCTTATCTAGAATTGCTTGACCATGTCTCGATTATATTACTTTGTCTTTCAATAGTTAAACATGCTGGTTGGTTTATCCAACATGACAAATGTTTTAGAATGAGGAACATCACTAGACATTTCTATAAATGGGCAATAAATTTAGAAAATTCCTGTAATTTGGTAAAAGAAAAAAACTCCAGTGGCTGCTAACCAAAGTTCAAGGGTATTCTAAAAGACTAGTTTGCAGTAACAAAAGATGGCTCCAGCTTCTGACAAAACTGTACTAATCTAATCTCCACACTAAGATAATGTGCTTCTGTTTCAAAGGCCTTACATAGGTTGAAGAATAAATGGGGGAGCAAGTAACAAAGAGAGGGGGACTAAGATAGCAGCAATTGAGAACTCCGACGAAGCCTTAGAATTCTGTGTTGTGGGCACTTCAGGTCCCATGCCCGGTGTTAGTCCTCCACCGCCATAGAGTGGTGTGGTAGTCCTAGGCGGCGCTGGTGCTGTTAAGGTTGGGGGTGTTGATGGTGTAGCTGTTCCTCCTGGTGTAACTCCCCCTCCAGCAGTGCTGAAAATTGAGAATCCAAATCAGTAGGCATCAAGCAGTAGCCATAAGCAAAACAAACTGCTTTGGAGCAAATCAGAAAAATATACTTGCTTTGGTGAATTTTAGCCTAACCGCAAGTAAAACGCATTTAACAGTAATTTTTCTTCTTCAAGACTGAAGTGTTCCTTGCAAAATCTGGCGCACCAGAACTTTGCAGTTTGCACAATCAAAATATCTTACAATCCTAACTTGGAGTCTTGGACACCATTGTTTCTTTGTTGGTTTTTTTGTGTGTATTTTTTTTTTTGTTGGGGGGGGGGGGGGGGCGTGCACTTGTCGGTGTAGGAGTGGATGCAAGTCTCTTGCAACTTCTCCATGCCCTAACAAGTGTGGCTCTCATGGGGTAAGATGAATAAAGCTGATAAGTACTGTAAGGAGGGATTATAAACTCACTGTTACTATTCATCCAATATAAGATCCTTCATAGTGTGGCTGTGGCTCTAAGCCACAGAGAGCATCTTCATAAAATTTTCAAACTATTTCACAATTGGTAAGGTTTTGGAAATTGGATTAAATTCCCCAATGCACACACATGTATGCACAGAGAGAGAGAGAGATGAACACGAATGTTTTCAAATTTTTTTTTGTTCGATTAAAATAAATTCCATGTTTTTATTCTTCTTTTTTTTTTGTTTTTGTGTGTGTGAGCTGAAGATAGATTTGAAGCAAAATTTGGTAAAAGTTTTGGTAAGTGTAGCATTAGTCGAACCTTAAGAGTATGCAAGCAACAGGAGAAATACCTCATGGCCTAAGCTTCTTTGCTAATATTTCTATTTTAAGCAAGAATGTTTTCATTGGGATAAGCAAGAATCAGTATGCCCTAAGGCTGGCAAATCAGCAGTAACAAGTTGGCTACTAGGACCACCAGCAGGGGAATCTCAGACTTTTAGAAGCTGTGTATGGTAAACTCATATGGCCCTTGGCTCTGTTTCGATGTCAAAAGGAAAAAAAAAAAAGTAAAGCAAAAGAAAACACTCATAATTGCTCCCCTTTACGCTGGCAGATTCTGAGATCCAAACAGAACCAAATTGTAGTGCCTAGAACTTTCACCCTTCAAATTCATTCTTGTTCCTCCAATGCCAAGGGGGTATATCTTTAGTCCAAATCCCTTCTACACAATTTTCTCTAGGCACAAATTCATGTGAGAGCTACTTTGGCTTCAATCCTAACTCTAGGAAGACTTACTTCAGTAAACACTCGAAGAAAAAGAAACAAAAAAAAAGGATAGTGCTACTTCAACATGCAAGATGGGTGCATCGACCGATGAGCCCCACCCACTTCAATCCTTGTGCAGCAGAGTCTTTCCAGTTTCTATCCAGAATTTAACTCACCTCGAGCTCAAGATCTTGTCAAATAGAGAGGTTGATGTAGAACAGATACCAGTAGACTTCTTCAAATACTTGAATTAGTAACATCCCCCAGCTCACCAAAAAAAAAAAAATTGTCTCAAAATGTTCTTCGATGCAAATTGCATGAAATTTGATACTCGTGTAAAATAGGTCAAGATCTCACTAATTCCCCGTTGAATTTAAAAATTGAACTACATTTCGTCAACTATGTTTTTGAAGCATGATTCAAAATCGCAGTATCGACCATCAACTCGAAGAACTCTGAGATCTCACTAATTCCCTGTTGAATTTAAAAATTGAACTACATTTCGTCAACTATGTTTTTGAAGCATGATTCAAAATCGCAGTATCGACCATCAACTCGAAGAACTCTGAGACTCATTGAGGCACGGTATTGCGGCGCGATATCGGTTGATACGATTTAGATAAAAATGTTGAATATGACAAAAATTCGGCAGTGTGGAACCGTATCGATCAATTTGGTGACGATATTTTGACGACTCGAGATTGACTCAGATACAATTCGAATGAATCGATCGAATTGTGCGAGATTCGAGGTTTATACGTATCGTATAACGGTATCGTTTCCGACGATGCCGAAACGAATACGACTCGGCCGACTTCTATCGGTATCAGCCGATACTTTGAACTATAATTTACCATTTTAGGAAAATTCAAAATTATCTCGAATATCAAGATCATTCCATCTATTCTACAGTTTACACATGCCTAATGACTATGTTATCCGTATCTACCATGCGTATCAAAACTTTCATCGAATTGTAAATACTTAATAATGTAACACATTAGAAGTCTTTTAGATTATAAAATAAAAGTGAAACATGCTATATTTTGTGGCAAGTATAACCTTGTTTAGAAAATAAACTGCAATGGCTAGAAGAGTCCTTTCACATAAATCCACTACTCGGTGTCATTCGTGTCAGAATACTACTTCTAAATTGCCGTCCCAGCCGTAGGATGACAATTACAGACAATACGATCCCACGGTAGGATCCTAAAGAGGACAAAAGGATTGAATAACCACAGTATCTTCTGACATACGATGCTTAAATGAATCCTAACCATGCATAAAGACACGTGGCATACATCCACAAGAACCTCCATACGAGAAACTTACAATCTCACACATCAACATAATCGAGGCCTACCTTCCGAAAAAAAACATAATCCGAGGCCACCCCCATCTCTCTCACTCACTATTCATCGCCAGCTAGAATTCAGAACAGAGAATTGGAATCGGAAGGGAATCCCTATAATCTCAAGGCAGGTCGATCGGTAATGGACACGTGTTTTAAACTCACTTTTTGAGTGCGAATTTTCATAATCCCTTCACAATATTTTAGTATTGATATAGATGATTTGCCTTTAGATATACCCATAAATTAGTGTGGACATTTGTGATCGTTAAAAAAAAAAAAAAAAAGAAGAAGAAGAAGAAGAAGTAGGTGAATCTCTCGGTCTCAGCTCATCAAACAAACAAAAAATTATTAGACTGAAAAATGGAAAACTACTCTTTTGCAAAAAAAATAAAACAATCATATGTTGTAGGGTCATTAATCTATATAATAAAGTAGCTTACAATTCAAATTTCAAAGAATAAACACAATGATTTTTTGCTATTAACGGTTGATATCGTTTTAAATTCTACTTTAAAATTAATCTAACGGTTAATATTAACACCCTAAATTTAATAAAAAAATAAGCCCCTAAAAATGTGTTTGGAGTAACTTTTTAAAAGTATTTCTAGAAATTATTTTTCATACGTACTTTTAAAAAAAAAATAGTGTTTAAAACAGCCTCACCATTACCTCTACCACCACCACCGCTACCGCCATCGCCATCGCCACTACCGCCGCCATCGCCACCGCCATCACTGCCGTCGCCCCAACCCCCACCACCGTTGCCGCTCCTCTACCTCCACCATCACCGTTGCCGTCGTCACAACTATCGCCGTTGTCGTCGCCACCACCACACATTGTCGTCGCCGCCACCAGCACTACCGTCGTCGTTGTCACCACTACCACAGTCATTGCCACCCACCACCACGGCCCTTGCCACCACCACCACGGTCATTGCTACCCATTACAACCATCACCGTCTCCTACCACCATCACTACCGCCCACCATTTTTTACCCTCAATACAAATCGATACTTAATTTTTTTTATCTTTTCTCTATGTTTATGATTTAATTTTAGATATAAATACAAATATGTTTATTATTTATCATTTTTTATTACTCTGTGCCTTCAGACACACGCAATAACTAGTACTTAAATAAACTCATTACTATATTTTAAGGCTCATTCTTTTTTAGGTAAGTAAGACTTTGGACATCTCTAACCCAACTCTTTACGGTGACTAATTAAAATATATTTAAATATTATACTCTCTAATTTAATTAGTTATTTTTATAAGTTCCCTCTAATTGCTCTTTATTTTAGCTATTCCTTATTTTAACTAATTATTTTACTTAATTTTTACTAACTTTTAATAATTTAAAAAAATGCAATATATATATGTATAGAAAGAAATAGGTAGAGAGAGAATTTAAAGAGGTTAAATTACTCATACATTTAGAGTGTCATTTAGGTGACATGAAAAATAAATAGCGGGTTGGAAAGTATTCTTAGTGTTTGGATAACTAAAATAACACAAAGTGAGATTATAAAGAGTGAGTTGGAATGAAATACACTTCCAGGAAATAGTTTTTTTCTGAAATGGGGTACGATATACCGAAAATTTCATGCTTCTAGAAAAGGTTTAGAGTAAAAAAGAACAAAACAAAGAGAGAGAAAATGAAATAAAAGGAAATTACATACCTCGGAGAGGATGGATAATCACAAGATCCATAACCTAAAACACCCAAAAGAAAACATAAATACAAATCACAGATACATACACATATAGAGATATAATATATATATATAGAGAGAGAGGGGGGACAAACTTGGGTCAGTCTTGGCAATGGTGGCGGTGCCAGAAAAGTCACAGGAGCCAGGAGCCCTACCCTTTCGTTGGTAGAAACTATTGAAGGCATAGGAAGCATGGGCTTGAATGGTATTGGGAAGAAAACACAACCCAGAGGGCTGTAAGGGTGCACAGTCCGCACCAGACCCACATGCATAGTCCATGGCAGTCTGCAAGGCCTGATCACTGGCTTCACTTCTCACTACGCACCAGGTGGCTGATACAACAACTGGGTTTGTGAAGAAGAGGTCAAGGAGGAGCATTATTGTCACCACCGCCTTGTACGGTGGTTCCATGGTGGAGCCGTTGTATTGGTGGTGACCTGTGAGGTATAAGTGTGTTCTAGAGAGAGAATCGAGGTGGTGGTGGTCTGTTTTTATGCTTTTACTTTTTGTGTTTTGGTTCTTTTTCTTTTTGTTCTTTTTGGTGGTTACTTTTTCTTTTGGGTTTGAATGGAAAAAAGTTTTTTGGTTTTGGGGGAGGGTTCTGAGGGCTTGTTTGTTTTGATTTTTGAAATCAGTTTTTGGTTTAGTTCTTTGTTTTCTAATTTTCGGAAATGAAAGACAAGTTTGACTTGTTTTAGCCAATTTGGGAACGGTTTCCAGAAAAACAAGAAAACACGGAGAGCAAAGGGTCCAACTAATAAGATCCCACTTTCGAATCCAGTTAGTTACAAAATAGACCTCTAATATATGAAGTACAAAATAGACCTCTAATATATGAAGTATAAAAACCGCCAAATCAACAATGTCTTCTTCTTCCCAAATCGCCTACTCTTTTAGCGTTCTCCTTAAGAAAAGAGAAACGCCTTCTCCTTTAGGACACAGATGACCAATTCGACTCCATTGACATCGAAGGTCGATGACCAACATAACTTTCCTCTCTCTCTCCCGAATCCAACAATTTTGAATCGATCAAATCGGTGTATATGTCCAGATTTGTACATACACATGCACAGTTTATGTGATGGGTGTGTGTTTCTTGGGTGATTGGTGTGTTTTTTGGGTGGAGTGTGTGTATGTATATATATATGTATTGTGTGTGTGATGTGTGTTGTTTCTTGGGCGATGTGTGTGTATATATATATATAATATATATATATATATATATAATAAATAAGATTAAACTTAATTCGAATTTTTTTAACTTTAAAATTTAATTTAATTTAAATTTTTTTGGAAAAGCATAAGAACGACTCGGATTCATTCTAAATTTAATTCAGCGGTCTAGATTTTATATAATTCTTCCGATTGGATCTAATGGCCTATATTTTATCTCACATAAAAAGAAAATCCCGCCCAAATAAAACCTAACCCTGCACGCTACCCACCCCTACACGTTACCCAACCCAGAGCAACGGCTCCTTGTAACACACAGAGCAACCCAATCACAAATCCATGCTTCCCCAAATCCATGCCGACGACACAGAGCAACACAACCACTTCAAACCTCTTATGCGCAAACACCAGCGCAAACACCAGCCCCACCTCCTTAAGTTTGAGCGCCGATAGAGAGATATAGGGGGGTCTGAAGAGCGAGTCTAGAGAGAGAAAGAACGCGATCTGAACGGCAACGCCAACGGCGTAGAGAGAGCAGAGAGAGAGAGAGGGAGAGACAAGAAATGGGTTCGCTGCAGACTTGGCAGAAAGCGTATGGTGCTCTTGGAGAACTCATTGATTATCTATAATTAGGATGTGAATGTTGATTATCTATAATTGATTATCATTTTTATTCGTGGAAGTTTTTATGTAAATAATTTCTATTTTTGGGAAGTTTTTATTCGTGGAAGTTTTTGTGTTTTTTGGCTGCCACGTCTGCAATTCGGCTTCGAGCAAAAATTAATGGTTGAATTGGGATGTTTTGTGGTTGAATCAGTGGTTCACCATTAACGGGGTTGAATTTGGGTGGAGTTATCTCTATCTCATTCTCTCATTAGGTAATGTTGGGTGGAATTGTTGGTTATGGTGGATGATTTTTTGGTTTTCGGTGGAATGGGTGGTAGAGAGGGTTTGGGTGGTGACTGTGTTGTATGAAGTGGGTGGCGGTGGTGGTGTTCATTTTCTTCGCCGAATTGCTCCATTTTTTTTCGGGTTTTGCTGCAATTTTTTAGGCAGTGGTATTTAGCAGTGGTGTTTTGCTGCAAAATTATATAACCATGTGTTTTTGATTACCTTTTTGGTTTTTTCTTGAATGTCAATGACTTTGTTGTCCCAATTGCTTTGGTGGGATCTCATGAATTCATCTATTTTTGGCAGAAGTTGGTCTATGATCATGGTGGGGCTAACAAGAGCAAGCAAAGACCCTCTCATGTTTTTGTGAGTGGAACCATGAATAGCTGCAATGTTGCATTCCCCTAACATGTCAAGCATGGACTGTGGATAGCCAGATACAAGTCCTTTTGCTTCATTCATGAGGGTATATCTGTTGAGCTCTGGATCCATGGAAACAATGGTAGGGCAGCCTAATAGGTGGGATTTGAAGAATAGTAATTTCATTAGAAGATTACACCAAATTAGATTATAAACTATTATAATGTTTAGTCATAGATAATTAAGTTATAAATCCAATGTTACTAGAAAACCAAGCACATGTTTTTTTAAGCCAGAACTGCCCAAAGCCCCACTTAAAATCACATATCAGTAAAGCATGGAAAATGATAGAACTTCTATTAGATGATGCAAAATAGCACTTTATCCGTAATTAAGCACCTATTAGACAAACAACACCATAACCAATTACATACCATTACAAACAAAAGCCTTCTAGACAAGAAGAGAGAGAAGAGACTACCTCAGCTCATTCCATCTCAAAAGAGCACTGCTGCAGATACAGAGCACCAAAACCATCCCAAAATTTTTGTATTCATTTGATGCTAAGTTTTGGTTAAAGACTACCTCAGCTCATTCCATCTCAAAAGAGCAGTGATGAAAGAATTATGGTGTTTATGTGGACATAAAAAGAGTTAAGATGGATGTGACTGAATTGCTTGAATTTGAAGATGAAGTGTTTATCAACTTCATATATGCTCTTTTAGACGAGCAGATAATTTAACCCCCATTTCCTTTTTTTTTTTTTGGTTCTTAGGAGTCATGTATTCGATAGCATGATATATATTTAGCAATTGATAAAATTTGAGTGACACAAAAAATAGTGAGCTGGTGACTTTTTTGTCTTATAAATTTTTTGCCATTGACCAGCCAAAAACATCTACCATCGCCCAACACCATCCCTTCCTCCTCTCCCTATTTGCCAAAGCCATTGACCTAAAAAATCATTATTGTTTTTTTTTTTTAGTATGTCTTTCATTTTTAATTTCCTCTGCTTAGATTTGTTATTTAATTTTTTTTCTCCTTTAATTTTTGTATTCATTTGATGCTAAGTTTTGGTTAAAGATGGCTATTAATATTACTGTTTTTGTTCGTTTATTCTCATTTTAGTATCAATCGAATGAAATATTTTGTAGTTTATTGGGTATAAGAAGTGAACGTTGTTGTGGGTAGCTAAGGTTCTATACTTCGTCGACCAAGCATAGCTATCTAAGGTTTTATGCTCCTTCAATCTATGATTTGGGTACACTTTTTGATTGTTGATCAATTTAATAGTATTAATTTGTTTATGGGTGTGTTAGCATTTGGATAGTTTGGCAAAGCTTGATAGTTGATTTTAGAATTGAATCACTAAAAGTTGTGTAACTTGGTGGATATTTAACCTATATTTTGATGTTTATAGGTGTTGTTAATATGCAAAGAACGTGTGGAGAGTTGAGTTTGTATATGTTTGCAGGTTTTTAATTTGATATTTTTCAATTGTGTTTTGAGTTAGTTATTTGAGGCAATGAAAGATTCATAAGATCATTTTTATATTCGAAATTTGATTTGTTTGCTTTTTTTTTTTCAATTGAATGGGTCAATGTACTTGAGAAAATTCATAGGAAAGGGGCTAGATATTGATCTTTTTACAGAGACAATTGAATTACAAGATGCTCACAACTAAAATTGGATATCTTGACAAGTTTATGGATCATGATTTTAAGGGGGAGATGAGGAAATGAGTCGTGGTCGTCGGTGGAGTTTGATGGGAAAAGATGGCTTGGACTTAGAGGCGACATTAAGTATGGTATACATGTATGTTAATTGGTAGTATTTGTTGGTGAGATCATGAATTATCACCTTTTTTTTTGTTGTTGCATGTGATCAAGCCACTATGTTGGTTTTCGTATAGGTGGTGACATTGGGGGGTTTAATGTACTCAGATTGTAATTTTGTTGGTATTGAGATATTGTCATTAATTTTGAGTTTTTGCTTTTGTTGGTTAAAGTTTTTTGGAAATGTACTTTTGAGTAAGAATGGTTATTCAATTTATATCAATGAATTTTTATTTTTTTATTCTATTTTTTTGTGTTATAGAATGTTGTTAGGCATAGACATTAACTTTTGAGGTTATGTTGTTTTTTGTATTTTGGGCAGTTATGTGCTAAGGTACTATGTCGGTGATTATAATGTTATTTGGACGATTACATTTAAGCTACTATATGTTAATGCAGTCAAATAATCATTTGCAATAAAGTATACTTCAAGTTTAATTCAATTTTATTGCATGAAGCATACATTTTTATTTTTTTTATACAAATATGAGAAGCCACCATTAATTGCATGAGGTATTAATCTGGTGTAGGTTATAGCTGTAAAGATTGGGTTATATCTCAATGTCCACATGGAGTTTATTGCAATGTGGTTGATAATCCTGATTTAGTTGGTGGGTTGAATTGTTACAGATTGCTTCAAATCTTAGTTTTCTATCTAATAATATGTAGGAACATCATTTTCATTGTAATTGAGTTTCAATTTCGTTTTTCAAGTTTTGAATTAAGAATTTGTTAATTGTTGAATGTTATAGTTGGTAGTGGTATTGTATGTTGTTTGTATGTGTTTTGTTTGTTCCGTATTTAGTACGGTGAATTAAGTATGCATGGTTTTGAAGATATGTTTGGTTTGATGTGAATTGTTGGTTGTGTTGGTCATTGATTTTTAGGGAAATGGAATTAAATTGTGGTGGTACGGTGTATTATGATGATTGTTATGTATAATTGTGAGTTTTGTAGATAAGTTTAGATTTTTCTAAGTTTCTATTTTTTGAAAAAATTTTGCTAAATTTTTTAAAAAATAGTAGGGACTAGCTTGATTTTAATTTGTTATATTAAAGAAAATGAAGTAAACATTATTTCAAATTGACAATTTGTTTTAGGTTATAAAATGTTTTTAAACAATGTAATATTCGTTGAATTTTATTTCAATTTTTTTATTACGTCGTGTCTTCAGCCACGGGCAATTACTAGTTTGTTATATTAAAGAAAATGAAGTAAACATTATTTCAAATTGACAATTTGTTTTAGGTTATAAAATGTTTTTAAGCAATGTAATATTCGTTGAATTTTATTTCAATTTTTTTATTACGTCGTGCCTTCAGCTATGAGCAATTACTAGTTTGTTATATTAAAGAAAATAAAGTAAACATTATTTCAAATTGACAATTTGTTTTAGGTTATAAAATGTTTTTAAGCAATGTAATATTCGTTGAATTTTATTTCAATTTTTTTATTATGTCGTGCCTTCAGGCACGGACAATTACTAATACAACAATATGAAGAGATTTTACATGTGTCACAACATTGTCGAAAATAAATTTTCAGTGTCATATTACTACCTTAAATTTTAAGGTTGAGAAATAAAAAACGCAGTTTTAATGAACAGGCTATGGGTGAAACTCGTATTGATTGGGTAGGTTGACAAATCAATTATGACTCAATCTTGGCCACGAACCTTCTCAATTCGAGTTAATGCAAATCAAACTTTTAATTTTTTTAGGAATTTTAATGTTGGCATAATTTTTCGGATATTGAAGATAAGGTTATTTGCACCGGTAGTCCCCAAACTATTCACGTTGTCTCATTTTGGTCTCCAACATTTCAATTGAATCAAATTGGTCCCCAAAATATTAACTTTGATTTACTTTGGTCCCAACCACAGATGTCGTTTGCTTTTTGTCATCTTTGTCTCCATGTGCCATTCACGTGAGGGGCAAAGTGGACATTGCACATACCTAGTTTGGGAGGGAAACATTCTCGCCAACACCTCCAATGCCTCCATGATGCACACGTTATAGCCTGTCAAACCAGAAAGAAGAAGAGAAGGGAGGAAAAAAGAGGAAGTGGAGGGAAGAAAAAAGAAAACGTGAGGGATGAAATTCATGTAATGGAGGAGTTGGCAAAAATGGAGGCAACACCGTGCTATTGTAGGAGAATGGGGAAAATGCGGACTTCTTGGACTGCTACAAACTCAGGAAGAAGGTTTATTGAGTGTGAGAGATATGGGGTAATTCATATTTTTATTTCATTTGTTAGTTTGGTATGAACATTTGAATTTTTTTAACAAAATATTACATTGTTAGGAAGTTGGAGATTGTGGATTTTTTGTTTGGTATGATCCTCCAATGTGCGATATATCGAAGCATGTGATTCCTGGATTTTTGCGATCTCTCTGAAGACACGATGACCAACAATGACTGTCAAAGAAGAGGGAGAAAATTTTATGGGTTGCTTTGTTTTGTTCATGGACAATTTTCATTCTCACTTGGGTGTTGTATTTCATGTAATTGGACTTTGTGAAGCTATATGTAACTGTGTAACTGGGTTGATGTTCTCTATGTAATCCCCCCTTTTTTTTTTTTTTTTTTTAAGAAAAGAGAAAATTTTATTGCATGAAATTCAAAAATTACAAGAATAAAAAATTGGAACTGTTTAAGCAAAATAGTAAGAGTTTAATAGCCAAAACAATAATCGTACAAAATAAGCCAAAAATTTCGTTTTTACACAAGGTTCTGTGTAGCAACTAATCTAGCTCCTGCTCTGTCTGACTACTGCATCTTGAGAAAAATTGCAAGAGCCCCAACAGAGAATCCAATGTAGGCTGTTGAAGATCAGGCTGCTTCGGGAACCAAAGCATCAAGTCTAATAAAAGCATAAGCCAGAAACATCTCCCCAAGCCAAAAACCAAATACAGAGAATATCATGCATAAAAACCGCCAGCAACCCTCCATAAAAGCATCTCCTACACAGGGCAGAAACCAACAGGAACCCACCATGAAACGCAAGAGAGATCAAGAAGAAATTAGGAAAAGCGACCAGCGAAGTCCAAAGGCCATCAAGAAAAGTGCAGAGGAAAGCTCAGGGAAGATAACTCCAAGACTCCCCATGCATCTGATACTTCTGATACAGCAGCTCCAGCTTGAATGGCCATTGAAACCAAAGAACACCCAGCACAAACAAAATCCATAGAATCTCCATTCACATCTCTGTCCCCCATAGTGAATTTTATTTTTGATGTATGTTGAAATCTTGAATTTTATTTTTGAAGCACCACTGGAACCAGAGAACCAGGCCCAA